AGTGCTAATATTTGACAAATGTATTACTAAACGCGTAAACAATTTTTTAAATTGAGATTCAATTTTCAAATTTACTATCCAACATATCTGAAAATACTTTAAAACACTGAAGAATACAGCTCTATTTTTCATTGAATCCCTTCTTTTTAGATTTATATCTTCTGATTACCAAACGTACCTATATACTCTAATGTGAATTGTTTTGCTGAAAAAAAAATTAATAATGCAATATCACCTTTATATAACTCACTTGAGAGGTGTTGTAAATATTGGTTTAAATATTATTTTGGTTTTCGTACTATCAACTTTATCTATGATTATACTTTTGAAGAAAGTAACCATTTTAGTCATTTTTAAAAATTTCAAACTCAACTTCTATATACAATCAAATTTATTTAATATTGAGTTATCACTATATTTCAAGAAATTTATTGAGATAGCGTCGTGTTGAAATTGTGATCCAAAAAAATGAGACAAAAATAAAATAAAAAGGATCAAAACGGTCCATTGGAATGTTTTTGAAAATATAAAGATAAAAATGGACAAAAGTTGAAAATATCGAGACTAAAATTGAGGTTTGAAAGTTCAATAATCGAAATAAACAAAACTAATTGACAATAAGAGGAATAGTTATTCTATTCTAAACCTGCGTTAGGTATGAGATTTTTAACCTTCGTTCTTTACAAACGAAAAAACCTCTATTTTTTTATTTGTCTCAGTAAAATTGGTATCACCGGTAAACTTATTTAAAAAATATATATATAAATGTAACATTTGTTTTTATTTGGCATTATTCTGAAATTACTTATTTTAGATTGCCATTTGTCAACGTATGTTTTTGGGTTGTCTACTCTAATTGTTTTATTTGGTGGAATTTAATTATGATGTTTGGTTTAATGGTCTAATATCTGCCTTATCGAGTAATTGGTTCAATTTGTTACGTTGGTCAATAACTCTGTGGCTTGACTTTCTTTTTTTCTTTTTTTATTTATTTTATTTATTTATGTTCTGTCAAAAATTTTGGTCTAAGTTGAAATGTCATGGTGTTACTTTTTAAACAAGAAAAATTGGAGGACAAATATTTGGTTTCGGAATTGTCCGATTATAGTCCGATATGATGTTTCAATGGCTCGATATGAAAGACGACCCGCTCTACAACTTTTAGTACCATATCTTCCAAAACCAAGTTGTGTACCGTCCGATTTGCAACCCCCACTACATCTGCCTTTACGATATTTACTATATTTCGTACACTTCGGATATAACAAGTACTTTCCTTTTTGAAATATGAAATTCAAACCTTTGAGGACAATTAGGAAATAACTTTGTCTTACTCACCATTAAATATTTGATAACTCATTATTATTTAAAAAAATATCTGTTTTTGCATTTCTCTCTCTTAATAGTTGAACATTCAATTATGATATTTTACATGTTTTATTTAATTATTCACTTTCTTCCTTTTCTTTTTGTCATGTTATTATTAAGTTAACAATATTAACAACATTGAGTACATATAATCAATATTAAAATTTAAAAGTTGAAATATTTTTTTAGTCTCTGTATTTTTAGTTTGGTTTATTTCGGTTATTGTACTTTCAAAACGTTCCTTTTGATCTATATACTTTCTTTTTTCGATCATTTTTAGTCCGTATACTTTTAAAACATTGGTTTTGATCTCTGTGTACTTCAAAAAACATAACAAGGGCTGGAGACATATCTTTTATTCAAGGACCAAGAACGGAATATTTGCATAGCGAATGGGAGTAGAGAGAAGAAGTGGCCGTTTTGATCTTTTCATTTATTTCGATCAAAATTTTAGCATGACATTAATTCACTCATTAAATTTCTTGATCAAATGTAGTCATAAATTTGTATTATAAAGCTTCCAATATGTATAAATTTTGAGTTAAATTTTATAAATAGGCGTCAAAATGATCACTTTTTAAAAGTACAAGAACTAAAACGAACGTTTTGAAAATATATGAACTAAAATGAACTACAAGTTTTTATTAGTACAACAAATTGGAGGTATGAGAGTTTTAACCTTCGACCTCAAGAGAAAGAGTAGATGCCAATTGCCCTAAACAATTTTCATGTTGGCCTAAAATAAACGAAAGTGTAAAATATAGAAACAAAAATAGACATTTTAAAGTTACATGACCAAAATAAACAAAAATTGAAAGTAGCGGAACTGAGATAGTATTTAACCCAACTTTGATAACACAATTGAAACTTTTAAAACTTTACTACAAAACTATTAAATTAGTTTAGAACTAAATTTGTAAATTTAACCTCTAAATGGAGGTAGTAATTTTTACTTTGATGAACACAAAATTTGTCTCACACAAACAACTTGATTTTTTTTTTCATGCAACCTTTTTCTTATTACAAAATTTACCATAATTTTAAGATAATGAAAGAAAAGCAACAAGAAAAATTCTTAAAATTTTAAGGACGATATACATAAAATATGTATATATTATATAAATAACATAAATTGAATTTTTGAAGATGAAAGTATATTCATTATTTAAAATAAAAATAAAGTAAAATAAATGTTATTTTCCCGTTATATAAAAAGAAGAGAACAGCATGACTACTGAACTGAGCTGTGCGAATATGAAAGCTTTAAACAATTGTCCGTACACTTTTAAAATATAAATAAATAATAAATAATTTGATTCCCAAAGACCTTACGCCGTGGCCCATTAAGCAAAAGGCAAAGGATCCACTAGTTGGATTTATTATTGTTTATCGATATAATAATATTCAATTTTGTTAACAAATCAAGATTAGATAATAAGAATTGGGATATTATATTTTTATTAATATTGCTGACATGAATTTGACATCGACCTGAGATTATATTTTCATAATATTATATAAAAACTGATAAAATATAGAAAGTATAACTAATATGGACATAATATTAATATTAACAATTTCTAACTTATTTAAAAAGAGTGAAATTGTTCTATGTTAATTTAAATATTTGTATGAATTTTTTATTTTTATAAATTTTTTTTCAAAAATATCTACTGACATCAACACTTTATAGATATTTCTATTGACATTTTAATAAAATTGAGACTTCTACATTTCTATTAAAACATTTAGATAATAACACATTTAAATTACTAATTTGGTATTTATATTTTGAAGTTAGTTTCAATTTAGTCTAAATTTTTTTTTGACTTAGTTACGGGACCAAATAAAAGAAATTTTACTGGTAGAAACCAAATCCAAACTATATAAACTAGGTCCTTAAAATTTCAAATTTGTGCCCATTTAAGTCACATAACTTCAAATAATTTCTAACTAGTTCATAAACTTTTAAGGTCATATCTATCTAGTCTTTATAATTAAAAAATATTTCTAATAAATTCTTAACCTGAAAAGAAATCGAGCGTTGCCAAAGCGAGGTAAATTAAAGTAATAATGAGAATATGGATGAAAATGTATGATTTGTACAATCATTTCAAGCCAGAAATGCACGATGATCAATGAATGAATGAAGGCAGCAGAGGAGAAGAAGGGGAAGCCTCCTGTCTTCTGCTCTTCTTCTTCTGACAAATCCTATTTTTCAGGCCCACTTTCTATCATTCCATCCCATCTCCCAAACTCTCTCTCATTTCTTCAAGTTTCCCACCAAACTCTAAATTACAATTTTACTCTACAACTCTTGGTTCGGTCTATTTGGTCAGTTCGGTGACGTTTTTATTTTTTTGTTTATCTTTTTCGATAGACGAAATAGAATTACGTTATAAGTTTGAATATCCTTGTGCAATATTGTTACCTAGAGAAGTTGTAATCCAATATAAAAAGGATTATAATTTATATTTATATTCATGTTATACTATATGGATAAAAGACGACACACAGATAAGCTGTGGAGACGATTCCGAGAAAATTAATCTTATGGTTATAGAATTGTCTTTCAAACTAACTACTCAATTTCAAGACCCTAGTTTCTTTTTATTGATAACTACTAATAAAGTTGAATTGAGTCAAAGTTTTATCCTAAATTGTTATACTTCATAACTTTGTCAAAATTGACAAATTTTGTAGTATAATGTAGATGAATTAGTCATTTACTTCTTAATCAAAAGAACTATTTAGGTGGTCAAAAGTTCATTTGAATAACCATAATTATCGAATTATATTTAGAAAAAAACCAAATATATAATATTAAGCACCATAATTAATTTTAACACAGATTGTTTTTATGCTAATTGAGAAAAAAACAATAAAATTATTTCTTTTTTATTTATCTCTCCCACCTGTCAAAAATTTAATGGTGGTCAGTAAAAGATATATATTAATGGGTTAGCACTTAAAATTTTATTTATGTGCTATTTACTAATCTAATCAACCTAAAATCAAAAAATAATTGTCGGCCTTAACTAGTCAAAATATTACTTTTAACCTCTCGAAACACAAACATGGGAAATTCTAGGGCCTACAACCAAACTAAGTCTTCTCACTTTTCTCGATTTGAGGTTGCTATTGGGGACGGAAGAGGAATCAGAGTAATCAACCACTCCATTTCTTACACAATAAATCTTCCAAAAATTTCCTACATCACTCCAATTTAAAAGACATTACATTTTCTCCTTACAAATACTGGTCTTGTTTCAATTATAGTTTTTCGGTTGATTTCGTTTTTTTTTTTATTCAAATGCATCCCAGGGTAGCTCTTTGCTTCGGAATCTAGATGCATGGACCCTGAACATTCAACTTTTGTTTATTTTAGTCCTTATATTTTCAAAGCATCCAACTTGATCCTATAATTTATAAAAAAAATGACCATTTTAGTACATTCATTTTTATTCTCATTCATTTCCATCATAATTTCAACGTAACATTTCACTCACTAAATTCCTTAAAATGTAACCATTATTTAATGGGTTAGAATTTGCAAATGAAAACAAAATGCAAACTTTTTAAAAAGTGGAAGAACAAAGGGAAGGTTTTGTAAGAGAACAAAAAAGTATTTCAACCTTAAAAAAAAAACACAACTATATTTTCTAAATATGTTTCCAAACTCATATAACTTTTGGAAAACATAACATCTATTCATGTTAAAACAAAGAACTCAAGAATTCTTCTATTTCTTATCAGATTTGGCCCAAATGGACTGCCAAAAAACAGGCCAATTCTTCTGAGCTTCATTCCAACCCAAGAGAGAGCCTTCCCTCATGGGATCCCAACTAGAGGAAACAATCCCATAGCTAACTCCCAACAGAGCAGAACCAAAGAAGAAGAAGGAGACTATGAATGGCACCCATGTGGGCACATCAATCTTCAACCCAACTTTCAGGTAATAGAAGAACGGGAAGAACAGAAGCCCTATCAACAATGGAATCCCCACTGAGAATCCCATTCTGCTCATCATCCTGTTCGTCACTACTTCTGGTATTACCCCACCTTCTGCCTCTTCATCCTCATCCTCATCTTCATCTTCATCTTCGTCCTCCTCATCACTTTCTTGGCTCTTCTTCTTCCTCTTCTTCGGCGCCGGTCCGAATCCCTTCGGACTTCTCAAGGTTGCGCGTAAAATCGCGGGCTGGTTAATGCGAGTTTGGTTTTGGTAAATGCTTGGTCTCAGAAGTGGGAAACGGATCCTTTCGTGGCTTTTCGAATGGATCGAGAACTTACAATTTCTCTGCAGAACAAACAGAAATTCGTCTCGTAATCCACAATTTCTACAGGCTTTTCATCGATCAATTCAACTTAACTGCAATCGAAGTGGATCGACGGATTGCTCTAGGTTTTGCTACTATCCCTAGTGAAGTAAATCTAGAATCCTAAATCGTAATGTTCCGGGAAACAGAAATACGAAATCGATTGTTGATTTTTACGAACTTCTGGAAAATCAATTGAGGAATAGTTTAGGTTATAGAATCCTACATCGTCATTTCGATTCGGCGTAATTGAAGCGGTTATCGAAGTAGAGAGAAGAAAATCACAATTGCGAGGAGTAACGAGGAGAGTACCTTGATACGGAGTGATGGAAGGTTTGAAGGCGCAAGAGGAAGGTTGAGCGATCCGGCAATGGCGGCCATTAGGCTTCGTCTCTGAAGCCGAAACACAGTCGTCTCGTCTCTTACATTTTGTCTTCACCGCGCGGGTCAGAGACGGAAGCCATGGATGTTGCTCTTGGAAACGGATAAGGTTTTTCAAGCGACGAAAAATTTTAGTAGAAGAAAGAATTGGCGGAACATTTCGCGGACCAATGAGGCTCTCCCACGTGTCAGACAAAGATGGAACCACCATAATCCAAGAACACTACAATCCCCACGGCCAAACATCGTCTCTACAAATGTTTTTTTTAATATCGATGAAAGATTCAAACTCTCTTTTGTCTGATACAAATGTCAACTACGGTGAGCTAAGTTTATAGTCATATATAATTGATTTATTTTAAACGAAATATAGTAGATGTCTTTTAACTTTTTTTAATTCTTAGTATTAAAAATTCCCAATTAAGTCATTATATGAAAAAAAAATTGTTAACATATAATTAAATTACTCTTATATTGACCTATTTAAACATGTAAATATACTGCTCGAATGCTACAACTTGTTCATTATAAAAATATTACTATACTAGTAAATAAAATTCATTTCTTCCACGTGAGATGTCCAAGTGACAATGTAAATACCTAAATATACAATTATAACAACAATTCAATGTTACAATTTTTTGTTAATAAATTTTAAGGATCAAAATAGAATTATCAAACATTAGAGACCACTTGAATATAATTTAACTCGTGAAGATATATATCCTTAGATCCTTACTCTTTCGTATTGTTGTATTATCTAAAAATGATGTGGTAGACTAATTTCCAACGTCTAATTAACTCAAGGACTTGGATAATTAAAAGTTCAGAAAACTTGCTAAACAAGTTTAAAGTATAAAAATTAAAAAACACAACCATGAAAATTTAAAACTAACTTTCAAATTTGAACCAAAATCAACCTTCACCACTTGAAAAGTATCTAAAAAGTAAATCTTCAATCCATTGATTACATTATGTAATAAGTCGTTCTAGATCTAATTAAGAAAATATCAATGAATACTCAGCTAAATTAAAGTTCCAAAAGCATCTCAATACACATGGAAGACCCCTGTTCATAATTCGAATATATAAAATCTAACTGCATTTCAATGCCAAACATTTAATCATAGCATCTAGACGAAACAAATGGACTAATTCTTTGGTTTCAATCCAAGCTAGACTTGGAACTAAAAATTATACGATATCGTAAAGAATTTCAATAACTGGGTTTGCAGATAAATGGTTGATGTTTTAGTAGATGTTAAATTCATAGAATAAAAAAATGAACATGTCTATTTACTACCTGAGAAACATACCATCATGATTTTCGACTTCTATACTATGTTTCTAACGCTTTGAACCATCCATCTCTCTGCGTGATTGGTTCCGAGAATACTAGGTCGTTGCGTGGAGACCAGGTCGGGAAACCTGTAAAAACCTGTAAAAACTATCATTTTCAAATCATAGTTCCCAAAAAGAATAGAACAAGGTCATCTTTTGCCAGTGTCACATGATTGCATAGTAAAACTTATGCAACAAGATCCTGAAAAGTTATTGGAGAATGAGCATCAAGAACTATTTGCCTCAAAATATTACAAAGTTATCTGTAAAGGGACTCAACTGCATCCTCTCTTTTCTTCTCCACCTCTTCATTTCCTTCTTTTCTTAGTGCTTTCTTTCTTTTTCTTTTTTTGGTAGTCACTTTTTCCTTCTCCACTTTGTGGAACTCCTCGAATCAATGTCAATGTTAAACTTATAATTCTATTACTTAACAAGTGACAAAATTAATAACTACAATTAGTTAAGTTTCTCTCTTAAACAAATTTGAAGCAAATTTGTGGCTAGCTCAAGTAAGTTTGAGAAACAAAAGTACTTTGATTACAAACATTCCTGTTTAATAACAAATCACTATGATGTTTGTTTTTGCTTTTAAAGTACTTTTGGGTCAAACACTTTGACCAAAGGCACTTTACAATCATTTTCTCATAAAGCATTTTCGAGTGTCTTTAAATAGGCAATCTGATGTTGTTCTAAATATGATAATTTTGAGGAATAAGTATTTTTGAGTATCCCAAAAGCACTCCCAAACATTCTCTTGCAACAAAAAGAGGCTATTTTTGTGGGTACCCGTTTTTCTTCTTGTATTTGTTAGAAACTTGTGGCTCCATATATATAAACCACTTGGTCACATGACATGCATTTTTAAGCGGAGCGAAAGTAGTTTTATGTCACAAACACAACAAGAAACCACCTAGAGATTACTAGGATTGAAAATTGAAAATTTTGATGCATACATACCAGGAAGTAATCTAGTCTTGAGCCAATCCAACATGAACGGCATTTGAACTCCCAAGGTCAGAACGCCCATACTTCGCAGCTGCGAAACAATATAACCCTACGACTCCAGCAAGAACTCCAAGGACCATTGAAAAGAGCTGGAAATTTGCAAGGAATTCACCTCTAACCTCACTCTCTTTTGAGTGGCACATGACCATCATAGTTTCCTTGAGCTCACAACCATCAGGCATCATTGGACCATATAGAGTGAAGGCCGTCTGATAAAACCAAAGACCTTGAAGGGTGATAGCAATTCCGCTACACATGTCGACTGGAAAGCTGGTAGTTAAAACAGCTCCAGCAGTCGTTGACAAAATGCAGAGCCCTATCAAGAGGACGAGGATAATATGGTAGTAACCTTCAAGGCCTTTATGAGTAGTTGAATGAAAGTAAAACAACAGATACTCGACACAGAATGCCATGGCAGCAACCAGACAAAGCGCTTCTTCTGGTAGGCGAACAAACCTGAAACAAAAGAGGTGAGAGTTGAATCCAACTATCTCTCATAAAAAACTAGTGATAAAAGACACCCTGAAGGATAAATTGTACATATATTTAAAAACAAAAAATCAACAGCTCAATTCAAGATTTTATAAACTATTTTTTATGTTTATCAGTGTTCGAGCCAACTTATATATATGCACTTCGATGGATCTTATAAGACATCTGTTTGACCCTACAAGATTTCGTTGTCAAGAAACTCATAGGATCTTAATACCTTATGAAGGTGGTCATCATGAGATTTAAATTCATTTTCTTAAAGTCCCTTTCACTTTTTCACATGCCCTGATGCCACTAGGCCAACCGTGGTTCAACATTTTAGCTCACTTCAAGACTTGAAAGCTGGACTAAAAGATAAGGGTTCACATGGCAATTCTTTATGCTCCTTTGTTAGTTATTTAACCAGCTGTGGAGGACCACAAGGCTGTGTGTTATCTAGGTTAGAAATCTCCCCTCCTATAAAATTGTCCATTTGTCCACAATTTACTTCAAATCCTGGACTACAAGTTCCTACAAACTGAGAGATACTAAAAATAGGGGAACAAGAAACATCAGTGCCTTTCCTGCAAAGTTTGGGAACAGGCACAGGCCGAAATATGACATTCATACAGGAAACTGTTATTGCTCTCATCCCATAACTTCCATTTTATATGGTTGTCGAGTTATATTTTCATATCAACTGCTTCTCATATATATGTTTCTAAGATGCTAAGGTGATGATATGATAACTGTAAAGAAAGATATAAGTCGGATTGGAACAAAGACACCACAGACCTAAATTGCGGTATCTTCATCTTGAATCTACGGTGGTTTCTTCACTTTCTTGATGATCTAAAATAAACAAACTGTGCCAAGAGCAAAAGTTAACCTTTATTATATCAATTCCGTAAAGATATACCTCTCCAGGGCACTTCTACTTGCCATTAACGGTCTGAATTTCTTTTTAAAAAAATTCTAATATTTTCAACCATCAGTCTGATAACTTTTCTAGTCTTAAGTCCCTTACTATTTCTATCGAGCTACCACTAAACTTAAAAAGCTTAAACTCGTGGGTTATTGTATATTTAATTTTTTTATGCATATTTTTAACACTCTTTGCACTTGTGGATTTGAAAATTAGCATGAGAATCAACCCAACTGATCTTTAACAGAAGTAGTTAACACTCCAATAATTTCCTAAATTTCTGAAGTATTTTTCTTATAGAAAAAAGCCTTATTCACGAAACAAGAGAGAATTAATTACCTCGACTTTTCATTGAGCAGAGTGACGAGTCCAAAAAGGAAGAACATGAGAAGCATCCCCGAGTGTTCAAAGTTGTTCATATGCGAAGGGTTCAAAACTCCATCAACGAAGAACTTGAGGTGGGTTGAATACAGAAGCTCGATACACAAATCAATGAAACCGCCAATGACAACAACATAAAGCTCCAAGTATTTCAGTTTTCCATCGAAGCCCGGCACAGGGTTCCATACACGGACGCGATATAAATCGGGATTTGACGCGTATCGCAGCAGAGCACTCCACACGTGCCAAACACCAACCAGAAGAAACAGCGTCCCAGGAAGAACATGGCCCTTAAAAGATCCCATATCTTCAAATCGCTTCTACCACTCTATTTCTCGTTCTTCAATTTCACGACGACTTCTCCTCTTCCTACCGCTCAAACATGTTCTGTTTCCCCGAAAAAAACACTTCCACTCAGTAAATCAACACAAAAGATAACTCCCTCAACTCTTTTGAATGTTTCGTGAAAGACTTCATGAAAGCAAGTAAAAGCACCAATAATTCTCGCAAGGCACAGCAAGAACACAGAGCACAAAAAGGACATCATTGGAGCTAATGATTGAGGGGGAGAAAGAGCCAATGAGCTTTATCGGACTGGAGGTAAAACAAGAAACGCTTTAGAAATTGATTCGAAGTCCTCGCACTATTTGGTCAAAATCGCCGGTATCGCGATCGTGAAAAACGAAAAAGAAAAAACAGATCCACAGCCAAGAGAGAGAACAGCCAAAAAGTAGCACAGGACCAAATCGAGTAGCTCAAATAGCATAATAGCCATGGCAAAAGCAGGAGTACAGACGAGAAAATACATAGAGAGAGAGAGAGAGAGAGAATTCGTATGTGTGATTAAAGCAATCGAGTAGAAACATGGCGAGATCGATAAACTCTGATGTGGTGAAAAATGAAAACAAACAAAAATCATGGAACAATCGAGTGGTGGTAATGATAATCTGGAAAGCACTCACGATTGAATAATAGAGTTGGTGATCGAGAGAGGATCCCACCACCATGGGAGGCCTTTGCTGCAGAAGCTACGCTTTTACGGTCCCCGAAAAAGGCTATGGCGCACCGAAACGCAGAGAGAAGACCAAAAGAGAGTAACGTCACGTGTGGAAAGTAGTGGCGTTGACGATGGCGGCAAGGTGAGGATCTAATACCATTCCTCTTCCTTCTCAAAATTAACGAATCGCTCGCAAATATAAACATGTCATTTAAATATTTGTTGGAAAAAACTTTGCTGATCCGAATTCCTATATGTTTTAATGAAATTATATAAAATTAAAAAATCTAGCCGTTTATATGTTACTGGAAGTTTTGTCCATATATTTTTAGACAAGCTTGATGTAGATGAAAATATCGATAAAATATTATGTTGGTAGATATTTTTAAAAAGATTACAAAATATTTAAGCTAATAAAAACATTTCATGATTTGTAAATATGTTTAAAATAATCAATATTAATATTATGTATATATATATTTTTTTAATCCGTGTGTCCGGACCAGCTTGCGCGCACCTTGACTAATCACGAGTCAACCGCTTGACCCTACTACATTTGGTTGACAAGGTAACTCGTAAGATATTAAATCCTAGGTAGGTGGCCACCATGGTTTGAACTTAATATTACGTATATATTAATAATCGTTTGTTTGATATTCTTCCTATTTTATCTCTTTTGTAATATTATATGACTCTCGATTTATCCCCTATTAATATTGGACTCGTAGATACATGGAAATATTGTTTAAATATTGTTTTGCTTTGGTTTATTCGTAGTTATGTATGTTGATGCTAATTTTTGTGTAGGTAACACATGAGTGTCACATACAATGTCTAGGTAGGTGACACATGAGTGTCATGTACACCTTCGTCTCAAAGCTCGAGATGAACTACATGTGTACTGTTGCTTTGCTAAATACACTTCAATACTTGGGTTTGAATTAGAATGGATGCAAACTATTATAGAGTACTAGGATATTTCATTATGAGTTCGCTGGTAAATTTGTACAAGAGTTTAAGCATAATGATTTGCATACCTCGATTCAAGGTTTTTGACATTCTTATGCTTCTATTGAGTGTTGACGTTGTAAGAAGGCGTGTGCAACGTTTGGAGCGATATCTTGACGCGCGTCATGATTCGCCACATGGAATCAATGCCTCTCTAATTGACTTTCGGCTCATTTGAGTCACTTCGGTGCACTTAGTACTCTCATTTAGTGTGCTTGGCCCTAGTCTCGAGTCGCTCGAATCCTCTTCGCCTTTCTTGACCATGGGTCTCAAATCTGCATTCTGGACCACATGCTTTGAAATGGGAGATGGATGTGAAGCTCCAGATTCACTTCGTAACAATGTACATTTAAAATATTTATTTCAATTAATGTACCGTTAATTTTTGCTTATTTTACTCCATGCACTTTCAATAAAACCATTCGTCGAAATGAAAAAAAAAATTAAAAATTTTGTGTTTTTCTTCGTTACTTTTATATATATCTAAACGGATCGCTATTTTATATGTGATCAAGTAGCATATTGATTATTATATACATGTTAGATGAAAAATAATCTATAAAGAAAAGTATAGTTGTAATTTTTGAGAAAAAAAAGTTACATCAAGACATCTTCGAGAATTACAACATATTGAGGTTTGCGCCTATTGAAGTTAACGAAGGTCAACTTGACTGTTAATTAACCTAGGCGATCGAGGTAGAAAATATAGTCAGCTCGGCATGAAATATGACTTGTGACTCATCATAAATAGTTCAGATCGACCCACCGAGACGTTCGAACTATGATTCATTATCTTGACTTGTAGTAATTGAGCTATCAAACGTCGACACGTGATTGGTGAGAAATCATCTCGACCATTGCAACACAAATTAAACAGGCCGAATTCTTCTAAATCAAAATGCAATTTGTAGTTAAAATCCTTATAATAAATAATAATATTTGTTTAAGAATAATAAATAATTGATTTATTTGTACAATGTATTGCTAAGTCGATAACAATGCGGAAAAAAGATAAGATTTTCATTGATTTGTTGTTTTAAATTATTTTCATAAACTTAAATGGGTGGTTTCATGGGAATCTGAACATAATTGATTAGATAATTCACATCTTTAGAAAAAAAAAACAACAAATTGACTTTTGATTCTCTGTTAAAAGTCGAGATTATTGATCACTTAAAATTCCCATTCATAGACTCGTGAATTTAGAATAATAGTTTTTAAACATTGTTTTTAAAATAGGAAATTAATGAAAAAAAAAAACTTCAAAACTACAAATTTAGCAATACTCTTCTGAAGGTTACGAAGTCCTTAAAAAACGAATTTTGTTTGGGGTTGCAAGGAATGGAAATAAAGCCCCACTTATATAACAGATTGATCTATGGTATGTAAATGTGAAGATAATTATCGGTTTTCTTGAATGATATTAAAAGTAAAATTGTAAGAGTTATGTCAAATCTAATTATAGTGGGAGAAATCTTCGAAGGCCAAATATCATGTAGTCATAAATGATGTGATGTGTTGGCCCTAGATTCGAGGTGGGTGTCTAGTTAGTCGAGGCGATGACTTACAAACAGAACATTGCACTGGTGTGGTGGTTGGTCATATACACTATGATACTTAAGTTAGTATTTAATCCAAGCTTGTGTCGAGTCAAATTTGGTTAGATTGCGTATAAACTTCCTACATTTGAGAGAAATGAACTCCACCTTTTATAAGAGAGCTTTTGGAAGCGTGGCCCTACTATTTTGATACCCCTTATATGGCGTTGGTAAATTTTTTGTTGGTTACGTATTGGTGTAAAGATGATCTTCAATTGTATGGTCAAATCTATCGAATTTGTGCAAACCTAAAGTCTAACTCAATTGGTTAAAGCATGTACGTTCAATTAAAAAATCGTGGGTTCGAATCTGATATAGATTTATAATATGTACTATATAAAATACTTTATATAGAATAAACTTTGAGTTATGTTTTTACCCTTTAATTTCTTACATTATATCCATCACGCCCTTTGTCCTTTTATCCTTAGAAAGATTATGCATCTTTAATATCAAATTATTGCCCATTTTTATAATAAATTAGACATATATAAAGTTAAATTAGTTGTAATGAAAGGTTTATGAAAACTTTAAAGAAGGCAAAGGGGGATGAATTTTGGTTAAAAGAAAAACGCGTGGGTAGGAAAATGGAAAAATTATTTTATTTTATTTTTGGCCAATCTTACTCGGTGCTTTCAAGGTTTGAATTTCTTTCTCTTCTAAGCCCTAAGAAAATATGATCCCAAGTAAATTAAATGGTGTGATTAGAACTAAAACTAGAATTTTGTGAAGTCTTCTTTTTTTAATAATGGTAGTATACATCATTTACCTAAATTTCAAATCAAGTCTGAACATAGTTCTAACATCTACCGGCCTTCCATCAATGTCAGTTGAATTAAGAGGAAAAAAAATTAAATAAATAAGTCATTTAACGACGTCCACCATGAAAATAACATCTTTGAGATTGATTTTATAAATTTTCCAACATTATAGTGATCATGAATCAAAATCACGTATTTTTTTTCTTCAAATTACATCAAACGCCAAAGTTGTTGCTAAAGCAAATATAGCTCAGCGATAATTGACAACCAAGACGTTGTGAGTTCAATCCCCATTCCCATATATTGTATTAAAAAAAGGCCAAAATTGTTAATTTATTTATGCCGGTTTATTCTGAATATTTTTCCTAGTAATTATTTTATTTGTAATATTAAAAAATAATAAAACTTTGCGATGTATATAAAAAAATAGGATGAGGAGTCAAACATTAAATTGAAGATAATAGATGTTTTATTGACGGCTTTGGTCTACTGCTAATCAATGTTCTTTACTTTATTTTCTATTTGCAGGTTTGATAATTTGTTTTGTTATATTAATTTTTTTAAATGTAAAGATTATTTATTTATAAGTTATTACGAGATAAATTATTTAATCATACTTCACTCTTACAGGATGAGTATCATCTTGAATTAAAAAAAAAAAATTTGACTACAACATTCACAGACCAATAGAGTATGATTTTTTAAATTTAAATGAAAACATTATTTTAAATAGTTTTCTATTTTAGAAAAGTGTTATTTATATAGATGACTTATGGAATGAATAAAAATATCTATTATAAAATATTTTAAATAAATATAAAATATTTAAAATTAACATGAACATACTCAATTTGTTAAGATGGCTCATCTAGTAATATTCTCTCATTTTTATTTTTTTATTTCATATTTCTTGTAAGTTCTCGAGAAACATAAATATATGATAACTATTTTTACTCGTTAATTAATGTTTTTAAAATTGTGTAGATATTTTGAAAACAACAAAATTAAGTTTATTGTTTTTTTTCTACTCAATTCTAGTTTTAAACACAAATAAAGAACATTATTTTACTATTATTGATTTATAAAAATATTAAAAAGTAAATATAAATATTGAATTTTAAAAATTAATTTTCATATAGGACTTTTATTTTTTTAGTTTAAAATTTTAGATACAAAAATAAAAATGATCAACAATCATATTTTTATTTATTTTTTAAATAAAAAATAACAAATAATTACCTTAATTATATTATTGTATTAAAAAAATATAAACCAAGAAACAAAAATATTTACCGAAATAACTTTCTCCGTTTAAATTTATAATTCCATGATGTCGATGAATTCGGAAAGGCAAAAAGAAAATTTTTAAAATTAAAATTAACATCACACGTGCAAGGCACGTGATTCACAACTGGTAAAAGAATGTGCCTCTTGTCCAAAATGCCCTTCTTCCATAACAACTACAAATTATTGCCATGTCCTTGAAATGAGGGTGCTTCCGTAATGTCACATTGATAGCGGACTTTTAGTCCCTTGATTGCCGGGGCTCCTGAAAATAATTTTTTTATAACACAAGTTTTATTTTTGTTTGTGTCTAGCGGGTCCCACCCAACGGAGATGAACCTTACAAAAGTAAACCCCCTCACCGGTGGCCACCTCCTTTTTGAAAAAAATTTTGGATTTCGTCACGGCGCCAACGCACCCGTTATCATCACCCCACCATCTCCGTCACAGCCCAATCACCTCCCTCCACGTGTCGCCCATCCCCCCAACACCCCCTCCCCCTCCCTTTTTCCACCTACGTGGGATCCCTCGCCCTCTAGCCTTCAGAATCTTTGCTCGCATTCCCAATCGTCCGATCTCTCTCTCTATCTCTCATCGCCCGAGATGTCGCCGCTTCTCCGATCCCGGTGCTCCGCTGCCTCGCCGGACCGCCCTACTGTTCTTCTCTGAAGTCAATTTTCTTTTGCTTTTCTTTGAATTTCTCTCTCCGAAAGTGAGAACGATTCGTTGTCTTTTCTGCTAGACTCGATTTTAAAAGTGAATTTTCAAGGAATTTGGAATCAAGGCTGAGAATTTTGAAGTTCTTGTCCTTGCCATGCCGGACGTCTGAATCTGCCTTTTCGATTTTCTGCCTCTGCAATTCTCGGGGTTGCGATGACCGATCAAGTAACTTGAGGCATCACTCATGTTGTGGAAGCAAGGATTGTTGTCTGAGCTTCCGAGTCTGCGAGACTGTGCATACTATATTTGAGTATTTCGGATATTGTTTTTCTCGACGTGTGGGAGGAATTGATCTGGCGCAAATCAGGTGTGTTAAAGCTATGTCGTCGAAGGTTGTGTATGAAGGTTGGATGGTGCGGTATGGCCGACGGAAGATCGGCAGGTCCTTCATTCACATGCGTTATTTCGTGCTCGAATCTCGGTTGCTCGCGTATTACAAGAAGAAGCCCCAGGATAATCAAGTAGGTGTTCTGCGATTTAGTTCAGGATTTTCAACTTTTTGGTGTTGTTTTGTAATCCAAGTGAAGTTGTAACGTCCTTATATAAGATATAACAATGCACAAATGCGGTATTTTACATTACTTGCGTTTATATTATCATCTGCATTCGTATGTTTTTCGACGCAGGTTCCAATTAAGACCATGCTAATTGATGGAAACTGTAGAGTGGAAGATCGTGGCTTGAAGACGCATCATGGACATGTTAGTTGTTATTTCTACTTCTATTTTTCTTTCCTTAGCAATGTGTTGTGTTGTGATTGCGAGGATGAACGCTATTATTTGCTGAAGCTGAACCAAACAGCCTATTTAAGACTTCTAATGTAGCCAACTTACCTCCATGTTATATTTCCGTTATTTACTGTTGCAATAAGTAAGCCTGTACTGCAACGGCAGAATTTGCTGCAACCGAGAACTAAATATCTATTATTCTTGTGGAGAGGGTGTCACGATTGTTTGGAGTTTGGGCTTCATCTTAACGAGTGAACTATTGCATAGTTGATTTAGTTCAACTCAGAATCCTGATGTTCAAAAAGTCCACGGTGCCACCTATTTGTTTTTTCTAGAAAAACGTCCAGATGATTCATTAAGCCTTTTCCACTAGTTGAGATCCCTGTTGATTGTTACATAAATTGTATAATGCATTTTCTATCTAATTAGTAAAGGCAGAATGAGAGAGAGGTTTATAGTATTTTCCATATTAATGGTGAATAAAGGTAGATTATAGCCATCTTTTCTTATTGCGTATGCTTTTGCAGTTCCGTTTGATATTTTGGGCTTGTAGCGTCATAAAATTCTGTGATGTAATAATTTTCCCTGTGAAGTAAATATCTAATCACTATAGTTCATGAAAATGTCTCACCTTTGTTCTTGTTTCTAAACATTTGTTTTCCTCTTTCCTTCATCTACTCAACATTCCGTGGACAACTAGATGACCTTGCACATAAATACACCTTCCAATTTTCAATTACTAACGTACTTAAGTGTTAGGCTGAGTTAGTGATGAGTGACAAGTTAGTAGTATATGTATTAAATATCAGATCATTAACTGTTTAGATTGTGAGCTCATAGTTCTCATTTTACCTTCTCTTAAATTTCTGTTTTGTCTAGTGTGAATAACGATGCTATTACTTCTTAATTGTGTATTACTTTAATGATCTATTACAAAGCCCATTTTTTATGTTGTAGATGGTTTACGTCTTGTCTGTTTACAACAAGAAGGAGAAGTACCATCGAATTACGGTTTGTTCCTACATCATATCACTTGATCCATTGAATATTGTTCAATGGGTAATCAACATACAAATAAATTAAGCTACTATTTTCTCCCCTACTTTATTTTTATATGGTCATCAGTTTTTATTTAATTATTAATCATTGTTTATGGGAAGGGGTTTAATTTTATTGATATCCGTGTTGCACAATAATTTTTGGGTTTCTCATCTTCTAAGTTCTTCATAATTGATTCTTTACATGATGATGAGGAAATTTTGTTGGACTGGACATACTCCGGGATGCCCTTATTCTTCATCATGGAGGGGAGAGGAGTGCTTGTTGCCCTGATCGATAGTCAAAACCCAGATGGGTGCACTGATTTTAGTTGGTATTTGCTTTGCAGATGGCAGCATTCAATATCCAAGAAGCATTACTGTGGAAGGAAAAAATTGAGCTTGTCATTGATATGGTAGTTTCCGATTTGCCTTTACTTATTTTCCAATATTCTTTAACTCCCATTGGAGTGTTTTTTTGTAAGCTCGTAGTCATAGCGCCCCTTTGGCTTTTAGCCTTGTCATACATGAATGAAAAGTTTAGTGTTTTCTATCTATAATATATACCATTATATTGTATAATGATGTAGAGCATATCAGTAATGGAAAGTTATTCTTCTCTTGTCAGTTAGCATTGGCAATTATCCATCAACTAACTATGAAATTATTAAAATATTATCCTACATCTCTATGATGTCTTGCATATTACCATAATGCCATATCAGTTGGGAGTATGCTGAGAACCAAACGACAATTACTTTAGTTTTAGTAAATTGGTTCTTGGTCTTTTTTGGGAATTGGTTTTTCTCTTATCAATGATTTGCCCCTTGATTCAACATTCATGGTTGCTTCTTTGATTCCTACATCTTATGAATTGACAAATTTGATCTCATTTACATGTGGATATATCAGCACCAAGGCTCACAAGTTCCAAATGGGAACAAATTTGTATCTTTTGAATATAAATCTGGGATGGATAATGGGAGGACTGCTTCCTCCTCAGATCATGAAAGTCAGTGAGTACATTTTCTTGTACTTTTTCCCTTGATTTATTTCTAAATATCAATACAACATTTTACAGGGAGATGCTGTAATTAGGGAACTTATGCTTGGTAATTTGAACATTAATTTCCCCCTGTATCTGTATTTAGGAATCTCTTAATCTTATTCTTGAAAAATATAAATGTGGGAACTAGTAGCGTGTAAACTAGTTTTGAACTTATTTTACCTGGGTAATATAATTCCGGTAATGGAGGTTCAAACCCCATACCCCCAATTTGTTGTACTAAAAAAAAAAGTTATTTTAACTAAGTGATGTCCTTTGCACTCTCTCACAAAAAGTCTCTAGAATATCTTGAGCATTATTATGCTTATGTTAGGTTGAAAAAAGAGATAGTAACTAAAACAAAATGAAAAGTTTTTTGGCCTTGTAATGGGAATGCTTTAGAAACTAAGCTTGACCGATAATTACTTGACTCTAGTTTGTCTCTTCCCAGGAACTGAAAGATAAAGAATAGTCTGGATAAAATAATTGATTGAATCACCGAGTAATTGTTAATCATTGTCCCATTGATATCTCTTCATTTATTCCATTGTGAATTGGTAAAGGCATCACTTAAGCTCTGTTACTTTTGTTCAGTCTACCAGTATTCTCACATTTTTTTTTGGATAAAGACACATATATTCAAAAGAACACCAAAAAAAGGATGGGCATCCTAAGGGCAAAGGGTTTAGAAAACAATAGCAGCTTTCTAACCATTCACAATGTAGTTGAAACTATAGTTACAAAAGAATTTCTTGTGGTTTAATCCACCTAGAAGCTGCGTACTGTACACTAATACAAAAAGAATCCACTCCAGACTTTTTCCTTCAAAAGGCCTACTATTTCTTCGCCCTCCAAAGAAGCCATAATAAGGCTGAATAGTTCCAAACTATTTCCACTTTTCCTTTCAGAAGCGATCCACTGAAGTAATCCACCAACCACTGATCGATCTTTATAGTAAAGCAAAAAGAGATACCCAAGCTAGAAGCAAAGAGAGACCAGCCCTTTGAATTATTTATTGAATCAAATCCGGCCACCTTAGCCAGTCTCTAGGTCTTGTTTGGATACGAGAAAAGCCATTCAAAATTATAATTCATGATATTACATCTGTTGTTGAGAATGCAATACTTGGGAATTAGGATTCCCCTGGCATTTAGATCTTAGGGTCATAGCTGAACATTTAGTCATGCTTTCGTTATTTTTTAATTGACTTGATAATTTGAAGCTGTATCTGTAGAATGTCTTTGCTACTACGTAAGTTAAATATGTACCATGGTTGGAAACCTATACTCTGCTTTTATTTTTCTACTACATTTTTTATGGGGTTTTAACATCCTTAAAAGATTTCTTATAAAAAAAACATCCTTAAAAGATTGGTTGAATATTCCTTACATAGAAATCTTTTATTTTTCCTACTGGAACATATTAACAGTTATATTTCTATTTTCTGCTCAATGCACGTTTTTGCGAGACGTAACTTCTTTATTTCTGTAATTTTACCAGGATTAGTGCACAGGAGGATGAGGATGATGCTGATCCAAATTTACTGCGAAGGACAACCATAGGAAATGGTCTGTCAATTGTACTTTTCCTTCTCATTTTTCTTTTCCCTTTCCTTTCTATGCTCCTGATTTTCTTTTATAATAATTTGATAACTCATCTTTTTAAATTCGTTATATGTAATTTGTGGCAGGACTTCCAGAGTCAGTACTTGACTGGACCAGGGAAATAGGGTCAGATTTTTCAAATCAAAATGCCAATAGTCAAGCTTTTTCTCGGAAGCATTGGCGTCTAGTTCAGTGCCAAAATGGTCAGCTATTTATTTTATTTGTGTTATAGCCTGTATAACAAAGGATGGAATGATAGAAGGGTGCTTGGAGAATTACATTTGTAATTTCGTGTTTTTGGTACTTAAATTAATTTGACAAATCGGGTTTTTCAATCTGGCCATTGGCAGGGCTTCGTATATTTGAAGAGCTTGTGGAGGTTGACTACCTTGTATGTTTTCCAATTTATTTACACCCACGAGTAGGTTTTGTCATTGATTAGTTCATATTATAAACGATCGTGTATGAATTTTCTTTGTAGCCAAGGAGCTATAGTAGGGCAATGAAAGCTGTTGGTGTAGTGGAGGCTACTTGTGAGGAAATCTTTGAACTTGTTATGAGCATGGATGGAACACGGTTTGAGTAGGTGTTTCCCTTTTCAATTTAAGATACTTGTAGACTTAGCGTAAAAGTTTATTGATATTCTTTTTTATGAAATCAAAATTAGTACTTTTAATTGATTATGAATAAAAAGCTATGCAAAGGAAATGGAATTCAGATTCAGATGCTATATAATAGCTAATTTTATTATCTTTCTTGTGCATGTGCAAATGAGTTCTAGTACTTGTATAAATTTAAGCTTATTCTTTAAGTCGTCTTGCTTAGCTTACTATAATATGTGTTCTGTTGACAACGTGTGGGTTACAGAAATAAGTCAAGGAGCATGTATTTGGAAATTGGCTTTCAAATCTGCTTGAAAGGACTTAATTCTTTAAGAACGTCTTAGTGGTAAAAAATTAGATCTGGAAGAGAAGCTAATAAAAGGGCCAATAGTGTTTGTATCTTTCGTATAAGGGGAGTAGGGAACAATCCACCTGCAAGATCAAAATCATCTCTTATTAAAGAGGAGGATGACACTTGAGTTTTAGAAAATATAAGTTTGGTGAAAGCTTATATAGTAGGGTAAGATGATGAAATATCTCTCATCTCACACAATTCATCTTCAATTTGTTCTTGTTCCCAATTTTTATAGTTACTTAATATGTCATCAAAACTTGAGCTTTAAGACAAAATTTCTAGAATTTCTATGGGCATTCTATATGTAACAAAGCCCAATAGCCCATGCAAGCAATATTTGATAATGACATTGATAATGACATTTTTATAGGATATGATGGGAGTTACAGGATTGAAATAGTAATTGTATTGAAGAGCAAGAAAACATTGTAAGATATCTGGGTCATTTGTAACTTGTACACCTTTCCCTTGAACAAATTCAAGCCGAAACAACTAAACAAGTGCTTTCTTCACCTGTTCTTACTCACTCTTGCCATCTATTCCTTTAACAAGGATTTTGAGCCAATGCCTGATACGCCCTAAGTATCCTAAAAAATTTCTAATATCTATCCTATTATTAGCATTCCTAACAAATTCCATTATTGTAGACGTGGCAGAAACTTTTAGGATAACTTCTCTTGATTGATTGTATGCTCACAATCTTGGGCAAGAAAAATACCATATTGCTTGTACTTCATTCTATGCACCAATATGTATGCATACCTTTGAGACATTAATATCAAGGTTCTTTAGTAGTTGTCTTCGCTGAAGAATCATCATAACATTAGTTGTTATATTTCTAAATTGTGATTTCCTGTTGCCTATTTCAAATTTTTGTGCTTCTCAAAGATTTTCTTTTTCGTATTTGATAGGTGGGACTGCAGTTTCCAGTATGGTAGCTTAGTTGAAGAGGTGGATGGACATACAGCAATACTCTACCACAGGCTCCAGCTTGACTGGTTTCCAATGTAATATGCCTCTACAAAAAGGATCTCTTTTTTGCATATCAGAAAAAAGCTAGTATCTATTTCTCAATTTTGCATACTAACATTCACATTCAAAAGTATAATCATATGTTAATTAATCAAAGTGGATTTTTGATAATACACACGTTTAAATCCTTAACAATAACCACTATATCATGTGATTTCTATATATTGGTTGCTGCTATTTCACCTATTATCATTATTAACCCCTAGGTGGCTTCCGTTATTTCATTATTTTCTTGAATGCTTCTCACTCAAATATGATGTCACTATGCAACATCGTAAAGACTTCTTGCT